AGGCACTAATCCTTAATACATTACTGTCATACTATCAGTCCCAGAAGATGCATCTATCAAAATAACAGTTCCTAATCAGCCTGACTGCTGCTTACCTGCTGCTTGACATCCGTAAAACGCAGCAATCAAATCGATGCCCGGCGGGAAAATCAAAGCAACGTGCTCGCCGGGATTCAGTCGACCCTTTTCCATAAGCATAGAACCGATCCGTTCCGCTCTTTTCAACAGCTGCGCGCATGTTATACTTTCCGCTTCCGCTCCACGTGAATTCATCAGCGTAAAAAGAACATGATCAGGCGAGGTCTGTGAACGTTGCCGCAAAACTTCCATCAGACTCAACACCTGCAACACATACCCACACAGTATTTATCGAAACTTCTATCTCATAAAGCATGCCTGCTCCAGTTTAGAAACCCACTCTCAATCAGCAGCTATACACGCCAAACACACATAAACAAACCTTTTCATCATCAGCACAAATCTGCCGCCCTTTTGCGGCAGCAATTCGCACTCCTTGCACGATGTTGCCAACAAACATAGCTGCCGGGCCAACGTCAGACTGCTGCTCCCGCGGTTTCGGCAAATTGATCACGCAGCTGTGAGGGCACATTAAAAGTGTGCTCGGATGTAACATGCCATCGATAAATCGTTGTCTCGTTTCGGACACATGGATACCACCCAATGGAGTCTGAAGAAAAAAAGCATTCAAGGACAAACCTTAGGCAGTAAAGTGATGCCAAATGGCAATTATAAAAAAAAATAGCAATAGGTGTGGACTGACGAAAAGAATTAAAATAACTGGCCAACACACGCGCTGCCCGTGCGAAGATGCGTTTTCTGCATAGTTCCCCTCAGTTTTTGTCGCTACTGGCACCGGTTTTTGTGGCAAATGCTTCTAGCTAAACAAATTAAGACTGGCCGCCAGAACTGTCAGGAAACATCTCCTTAAAACTTCAGTTTTCTTGCTTTCCTGGCTCCTAAGTTAGAAACTTAATAGAAGAAAATTTTCACGGATCCGCGCGTGGGTAACATGCATACCCGAGGGCTGGGTTTGAGTTCATTAACACCTACTTGGACAGGGAACATTCCCCTAAGATTTCAGTATTCTAGCATCTCAGATACCCGAGTTAACAACTTACCCGAAAAAAATTTTGGCGGGCTCGTACGAGGGTACCACGCATACTCGGAGGCTGGTTTTGAGCTCATTAATGCCTACTTGGATGGGGAACATCCTCTTAAGATTTCAGCCCTC